TTTTTTACATTCCTCACACATAAAACGAGTGTCTCTGGGGTTTTTTGTGGGCTTTTTTTTTTTGTATGTGAACAGACGTAACACCTTTTCGAGCCTTTTTCTTGAAAGCAGTAGCAGGCATTTTCCGGGAAGTGTCCCATGTTTCAGAAGAGGGGTAGTTTTGAAAATTTGGTGGGGTCATTGAGGTGTGCCCTTGGGTCTTAAATACATTTGTTGATGAAGACAAACAGAATTGCCTAGTGTTTTTTTTCTGGTTCTCATTTTATAATTTAAAACATTGAGCAGGGAAAATGTCCAGAAGATGGAAAAAGAGTTTTTGTACCATGAAACTTTTGAAACACAATCAGCAAACCCCAATCTGATGTCACATTTGTCCATGAACGATGTTAAAGGGGGAAATCAATCACAGCTGCATTTTTTAAAATGGGTTCATTGCTCTCTCTATGCTGCCCTCCACGTCTGCCTTTCATTGGGGGAACTGATGACAAATGTACATCTCTTTTCATGCCACCAAAATGCCATGATGTCTTTGGCAGCAAACCCCTGAACCTCACCTCACAGTCCCAGCATCAAACCGGGGGATATGTTTCCGATTTGCACCACTGGCCAAAAACATCTGTCATTTTCACTTCGCAAAAATCACTGAGTGAGGGTTTTGTGAAGTTATCTGTATAAATATATCCCCTTTTCCCAAAGGTATGGTTCTATCATTGTTCTAACCACTCACCTGAATCCCCCAAATAACTTCCGGGTATTTTGAAAATGTATAACTTCCGGGTGTACCAATAATATCCAATACCAGCCCACTGAACAATCACAAAGCACAAAAAACTTTTCCAAAAGGGTTTTCCTCTTGCTTGGGGATGTACTGCTTGAAAGAAATCTTCCTTTGAACAGATCAAAGACTGTCAAATTTCAAGTTCCGAAAGGGGTAAAAATGCGTACTGAATTTTTCTTTCAATACAAAACACATTCCTAATCTTATATAACCTTTGTTTCTGTCACCTGGTTTTGTCTGAGAAGTGAAATAATAACTTAGCCAAATCGATTTACTGGCATTATTCACTGAAACCCGGGTTGCAAACAGGGAGTCGTTGACCAGTATGATTCACTTTGTGCTTATACAAGTGGGATAGCATTATTGTCAAAAAAAAGAACATTCAGCCACAGTTGCCTCCTTCCACTGGGTAGACGGATTTGGTGAAATAATGTGTTTGCCATGGTGTACTCGTGTATGTGTTTTCTTTCCCTGACAATATTTCCCTCGTGGTTCGTCAAAGAATAACTCGAAACTTCCAGTTCAGTGGGATTGTTTCCCAAAAATACAAGATGGCCGTATTCCATTGGGGGCATCAAAGGGGGATTTGGAACAAAATTTAAGCTTCCTGCCAATCCCAGGGGGGCTGCTGGTGGGGACTGGGCAAAGCAGGTGGTTGGGTTGTGGAGGCTGGTTGGTGGGTGGGGGGGGGGAGGTGGCCCTTTTTTGTGATAGCTGAGGAGCAAAGGTGGATGGAGCAGGGGCAGCGGCCATCTGGGGCCTCATGCCGGCACCACTACCACCACCACATTTCTCCCAATTGCAACAGTATCCTCCATTTTCAAAATCTTGTTCCTGTTGTACAGCCACGGGATGTACTCCGAAGCACTCCTTCCCTTGGGAAAAGCATTGGACACTCCCCGAGCGATATATCGTCAATCTGACGCTTCACTGGGGGAAAATTGCACTTCACTATCATATGGAACTAGTTTGAAAAGTTTTGGTTTTATATTTATTCACTCTCATCACCCCTTGCTTCCCTCTGAGTCTTGGGTTTGGGAAAAATAGAAGTTTTCCCCTTGGATTCTGGTACAAAGAACTAAACAGACGGGCCCCGCACCAGAGGTGGAAGTGGGGTGTCGGGTTTTCCCCACATTACCATATTATGGTCATTAGTTTCTCAAAACCCCACCAAAATTGAAAAACATCCACTGGGCCCTTCCCCTCTTATTAGAACTGTTCACTGGGGGAAAAAAGTTCCCAATTCGCTGAGGAGTGAGGAGCTTCTTACCGCGAGGCATGGTGGATATTGTTTACTAAGATGGCGTTCCCACAATGCACCACTGAGTCCCAGATTTTTTTTCTACCACGCACACCGACCACACAGACCCATTCTCTCACATGTAGGCCTACCAGCCTTTTCAAGCGAGATTTGACGCCGCTAGAATTTGTGCGTACTAGTACGTCAAAAAACCCTGAGCGTAAGACGTACTAGTACATCCGAAACCCTCAAAGGGTTAATGCCTAATTCTATTGCTAACTTAATACAGTGGTCCCTCGATAATTGTAAGGCTCGATAGTCGTAATTTTAAAAAATAGTAACATTATTTTTGTCAAAACATTGGCTCGCGAATCGTCGTTTGACTCGCAAATAGTTGTTCGACACAACACCTCTCGTGACATATATAATGACTTATTTTATTCATTCTATAGTATATTCCAAGTTTCTATGTTATTAATATTGTTTATTATGTCATATTAGTTGAATTGTGATAGATAAATAAGCTGTAGAGTTGATATTAGTGTCATATTCTCCAACAATAAACTCGCCGGAAATAAATGGTATAAAATACCGACACAATGGAAATATAAGCACAATTGCAGTATAATGTGATCCTTTATTGACAACGTTTCGCCCACACAGTGGGCTTTTAGACAGGACAAGCTTCCATCTTCTGCAGGGGTATACATAATCCCTTGTAATGACTGCAGCAAATTATACGTGGGCGAAACATCAAGGGACCTCCAAACATGTATTTCAGAACACCAATACGCAAGCAGGTCTGACGATACAAGGAATGCCTGTGTACAACACCATAATTCACACAACCACTTAATAAACTACAGAAATTCAAGACTTATCGCCACAGAAGACAACACACAATACCGAAGAATCCTGGAATCATCGCTTATCTCTATATCCGACAACTTCAACCAGAATAATGGCTTCTACAACATAGCTGAACCACTTGCCAAGAAACTTCTTCATCGCTATCCCACATAAGAGCATAGGAATGGAAGAACACTGCAGAAGGTCTGCTCACAAACTTATCCAATCTCCCTTCCAAGCTACTCAAAATTTTAGACTCTATAACCCCACTCGATACATCATCAGATGCAGCATTCTCCACCTGACCTCAACATTCTGAACCTGACTATAAATACTCACGTACCTTCCATCCCAGGTAGATCTGTTTGTGACTTGAAAAAGCCCACTGTGTGGGCGAAACGTTGTCAATAAAGGATCACATTATACTGCATATGTGTTTATATTTCCAATAAACTCGCCATCCCTCCCTCACACAAACAAGTCTTCAATAAAGGTAAGTGTGATGTTAAATAAGAACATAAGAACTTAAGAGAGGAGGAACACTGCAACAGGCCTGCTGGCCCATACTAGGCAGGTCCTTCACAAATCCAACCCACTAACAGAACAAATGCTACCCAAGCAATAAGCTCAGGTGCAAGTCCGACTCAAATCCAACCCCTCTCACTCATGTATTTATCCAACATAAGAACATAAGAAAGGAGGAACACTGCAGCAGGCCTGTTGGCCCATACTAGGCAGGTCCTTTACAATTCATCCCACTAACAAAACATTTGCCCAACCTAATTTTCAACCTAAATTTGAAACTACCCAAGCCATAGCTTTTAAAACATAACATAAGAAAGGAGGAACACTGCAATAGGCCTGTTGGCCCATACTAGGCAGGTCCTTCACAAATCCAACCCACTAACAGAAATGCTACCCAAGCAATAAGCTCAGATGCAAGTCT